TTTGCTGAATCGCAATAAAAACCACACAGAATGAAGCGCACAGTAATGTAGATGAATGTCTTTCTTTGCACTATATCTGCCGGTTTATACAGTTGCTGTGGTTGAAGGATTTACGCAGACTAACGCTGTTTCAGCTCGAATCTGAAACTGAATCTGAATCTACATGAAATTTGAATCTTAAACAAAACTATCCGGGGGGCTGACATCCTATCGTTTTTTCATAAAACGATTCCAAGACCTTTTTTGCAAAAGGTATTGGGCTGCTTCAGCATAATTTACAGTCAACTGGCTAAGATTCAGTGTGAAGACAAACAAAACATCGCTTATATCAGACTAAACGAACTGTGATGATAGTCTTAATGCCCACCCGGATTTTCGATTCCAACACTGGTTGTGCTTTGCGATTTTTCCTGCCGAAACAACAAGCTGTTTGAAAATAACAAGTGCGTTGTATCATTTTGTGATAGTTGTAGATGAATGTCTTTCGCAGACGAATATTCCAAACTAAGCGTGCGGCGCGTGAGAAATGTTTATTCTCTCAGCTGCGTTGTTGACGTTCGCTTCAGGTTACAAAAGCCGTATCTCATGATCTATGATTTGCGATTTTTCCCGAGAAAACAACTAACGTTTTTAAGACCTAGTTTGCTTTATACGATTTACTACAGTGTACTAATGAATGTCTTTCAGAAATTAGGGAACTACACGCGTATTTTACGATACAAAGCGAAATATAAGTTTGTCGACAGGTCAAGACAAACATGGCGCAGTAAGAATTCACGCGTTGGCCGTGTAGTTTCTGCGATTTTTCCTGGCTTCACCTTATGAGCTAAAAATTAAAGTATAGTTTTGTCAAATGCGCAATAGTCTGATAATGGATGTCCTTGATGAATTACGTTTATTCCGTGAAAAGAGACTGAGCAATTCCACATTTTGTACTCCCGTTTCATATTCAAATCTGAATCTGAATCTGAATATGAATCTGAAACTTGAATCTGAAACTGTAGAGCGGATCGTCCTACGCCCCTGATAGAGGATGGGGCTAAACGGAGAGTGGGGGCTCGCTATATAGGGAATGAACAGGGGGAGGGGTTCCGCCAGGTATACCCTGCGCTGAGGCGATTATATTAGACGGTGGAGGGAGTGAACTGGGGGCGGCTTAATCGAGGAAATATGGTAGACAGTTTAGCTCTGAGTGCTGGCTCGTAGTGAAATTTCTTGTGGAGCAAAGTTCGCAGTTCTATATGTGGGCAGATTAAAGGCGCTTTCATTGACATTCGGACGTGACCCACTCACAGATCAATAGTCCGTCGCTTTGATATATGTTTATTAAATCACAGTCCTTGTCGAGAGTTGCAGTCCTGATGTATCATGAGCACGTATTTTGGTTTCTGGTTGTGGTGATTGGGTTATGCGAAAGCCTTGAACTCGATACCTCGGGATGTGTCGAAGACTGTAGGGATCAGGTATTTATTATTTCGTTTATGTGTATTATAAATATATCAGGGGCGGATTCAGACAGGTTTGATAGGTTTATATAAACCTGTCAGATTTTCCAAAGAAAGAAAATCTGTAACCTTCCATGTACATATATAACTAATTTAAAGAATATTCTGTTTCATAAACTTGATGTTGTCTACTTGTCTAATCTATTACGCCATTTAAATACTCGTATTGAAATTTGATTCTGGATTACCGAGCGTATTTAGACCCACTTACATAATAAGCACTTAATTAATTAAGGACTTGTCGCGTTGGTTTCCTCTTACGAAATGTTGTAATACTAGACAAATAATCTGCTAATGTATCGTCGTTGGTCGTGGACTGAAACATCGCATGAATCACACATAACCGCCCGCAATTGTGAGTAAACCGGTGGTCAGAGTTTTCTCAATGAGAGTAAACCGGTCGATACGCCATTCGATTGGCTAAACGGCTGCGCTCCGACGGATGTAAACCGGTCATAAACCTGTGAGTCGAGCAGTATTTAGAGAAAACTGGGAATGAAAGTTAACAGAACTCGAGGACGCGCGAAATATGTTTATAATTTTGCGTGACTGAAAATTGCGTTGGCGATAGAAGCATTTACATGGATTTCTTGTTCATTTTGAAGGTTTGTTTAAAAGTACATAGTCTAAAGTTATAACTGTAAGCTATTTCTACTTACTGTATAATAAATATCGATCCGTCAACAAGCGTATCAATGTTTATACGTGTAACTTCTACACAGTCTACTGACTCATGATAGCGCGAAATATGTGTATAATTCTTATAATATTGCGTGACCGAATCATTGCGTTTGCGACAGAGAATCAGGAAATAATTGGATGTAAAGCTTTCACGCTCTTGCAGTTTGGTTTCTATTTCATTGTTAAAGCGGTTGGTTTGAAAGCGTATATATCTAAAATTACAACTATGTTTATATTAAAAGCATCTCTACTTGTACTGATAATAAATATCGATGCGTCAGCAATTTGCCAATCCTATATTTTTATCACCAGCTAATAAGTTTCCGAAAAGGTTCAATTCATTGTTTGAGCTGCGTATATTAGTCCAGAATTCTCTTAAAAACATATATTTTCTAACCATTAAATTAATTTAAAAGGTGACGCCAGAACGCAGGAAATGCTGTTTAAGAGGCCCGAATTTTAAAAATTTCCCGGGGGTGCATGCCCCCGGACCCCCCTAGTGGTTATGTGGACCTAGTAAACCTGTCAGCCAAAACGCTGGATCCGCCCCTGTATATCATGTATATGTGGTAAAAGCCTTGCACAGTGAACGCGCGGAAAATGCGGTGATAATTATTGATCAATTATCTATTATTCAGTTCTTCCCTAAAAGTTTGACTAAATGTGACAAGTGTAGTATATTTACCCTAATGACCCTATAATCAGAAAAACGTAATGCTGCATGATATATACCTTTCACAGGTACGTATACGGCGGAAGGGAGAATATATAGGCCTATGATGTCGATTAAATCTGCTATTTGTCTTAGTTTTCGCTAGGCCTTATTAAAGATACAAACGTAAGCGAGAAGATAAAGAATGGTCCCCACAAAAACAAAGCAAATGATAATTATGGTTGTTTTAATATTCCCTTTAATGAATGTATCAGATTTTGCTTACAGCCAAATATCCGCCGTCCGCCGTCACGCTTCACTGAATTCCACTTGTTTGTTTACTCTGTGTTCTTTTCACATTAAGCAGATTACATTTATCATACTCGTGCTTGATCTGGGATTTATAATGTTGGCAAACGTGTACTCACTACCACAGTAAAATAACTGCCTAATGTTGCCAGATCAAGACGTGTCAAATTAGTTTCAAAACAATGGAGGAAATTAAAGTAATTACTACAATATTTGTGACTTTTCTGTGAGCGAAACGAGCTTGTAACAACCATGTCCATGAGCTGATGAAATCTGCAGCAGAATTCTCTACGCGCACTCAATCGCCGCTAAAAAATTTAAATTTTATGAGAAAGATAACACGAATTAAGTGCAAATAAGTCATGAATAAGTGGAGTCAAAAACAAGCCTGATATTTAGTATTATATTTAGTATTTACGCCGTACAAAGGCTACAAATTATTTTTGCAGAAAAGGAAGGAAAAAACAAAAAACAAGTTTCTTTGTTTCTTAAAATGTCGTCGTCAGGACTACGAGATTTCTCTAAAATTTCAATCCTTAGATGGGCAACGGCTACGGCTTTTTCGCGTCAGTACTGGTGGCGTAAGCATACAGCGTGCGTTTCGCATTGACGAATCTCGTACCCGTACTCGTAGTCGCTGCTAAAGCTCTCTATTGTTTAATTCGCAACAACAAGAACCTTTTAAGACCACGTGCATTTGTGCGACATGTGTCAACCGACACGTTGACCAGATGCTCACATGGCCCCACGTTGACAACACACAGATAATTTGTTAATTTATAAACAAGACGCCTGCTCAGGCGTTCGCACCATAGATATAGGAGATCTAGATTGCTAACGTATACCTAGCGCAGGCGGGGCCTACATGATAAATCCAAGATGGCGGCACAAGAGGGCAAAAAGCCTCTATTACGAAAATGAAGATTTTTGCATTTTTTGCCGTCGCATTGTTTTGAAACTTATTCGGTCAAATTTTATGGTAAAGAGAAACTTACCGCGAAGATTTTGAGCATATTTATGATTGAATTGGATGAAAACTCGCAAAATTATCCAGCGATAAAAGTTCGTGTATAGTACTGATATAGTACTATATATGTAACTTGTACAGTTTTGCTTTAATTTTTGCTCACTATTTGCATAGAAAGTAAATTATAACAGACCATAGATGATAGACCCTTATCCAGTGCTCTCATCAGTTTACTTCTCTAACAAGCAAGGAGGGGGGGGGGGGTACATAACAGTGAATTTTTCATAATTATGAGGACAGAGCAGATGATGATGAAAGACGCAAGTATAAAACACCATTCACAAGACTAGATGTTAACATAGTACAGTATTTCTGGCAATAAAACGCTCCAACTGACCAACTGACCATTTCACACAAACTTTTATCGCGGATAATTTTGCGAGTTTTCATCCAATTCAATCATATATATGCTCAAAATCTTCGCGGTACGTTTCTCTTTACCATAAAATTTGACCGAATAAGTTTCAAAACAATGCGATGGCAAAAAATGCAAAAATCTTGATTTTCGTAATAGAATCTACAGTCTTTTTGCCCTCTTGTACCGCCATCTTGGATTTATCATGTAGGCCCCGCCTGCGCTAGGTATGCGTTAGCAATCTAGATCTCCTATATCTATGGTTCGCACTGACCTGAAAATGACGACATACGTGCTATGCCTATATATGGTGCAATAGACAAGAATACAAATCGTGAACCGCAAACGCAAAGCATGAAAGGCTGAAAGCGTGGCGTGATGCTCAGGAGATGTTTTCGTAATCTCCAATCAAACACAAGTATTATTCACAAATACAAACGTTATCCATTAATGAACATGCATGGTCTCTGAGCATGCGGTGCGCTAAAGAAGACACTGAACATTCTTTACATTCCGTGAGTCCGTATAGCCGGTATAAAATTCGAAAAATCAGCGATCTAGATATCACATTTCCAGAGACGTTGCACGAAAAATCCCCCACCAAGTCAACTTTCAAGAAAGTGCAGAGAAGGATAAATCCAAAATCCACAGACAAACGCAGTAAAATTTGTTGACGTGACAAATTAAAAAAAGTGCGAAAAAAATTAATTCACATTATGTATTTTCTTGAAAGGAACTGAATAATGAAGATAACATGGGACAATTGAAATATTTCCTCACTTATTATTTGATAAATATAATAGCAAATAAGATTTTAAAGTCAAACATAATACACATCTAGGAGGTAAGGTAAATGGAAAATAATAGCTTTATTAGCATGACTATTAATTTACAGTATTGCTAAAGCGTATAAAAGTTATAACAATATATAGAGAACTATGGTAAACTAGGATTATACATGTACAATTTACAAATTAATATATGTGCAATGATACTTAATAATACACTAACATAACATTAACGTTAGTAAGAAGTAAGAAGAAAGAATGTAGACAAGTATAATATTTACAAATAAGGTGTTTATTACAACCTCTGCTAATTAGCACTCCTGGTTTCAAGGGGGGTTGCTAATGTGCGAGCCTGCGAGCCCGAGCCTTAATTTGCGAGCCGCGAGCCTTTCATTTGCGAGCCTTTATTTTATATTATCAAGCCTATATATTTTTTTTAAAAATGTAAACAATTTTGGGATGGATGATTTTATTGCGCTGGATGAACATATTAATGACGAAGGTGATCAAACAGTTAATATTTTAATCTTTTCTTTTTTATCTGTCTATCGATGTGAAAGAAATAGTTTACTTTTAAACGCTCCATTTTATATTTTATATTACACGTACACATACAGCTGAAGAGTTGAAGGTCGGAACCATATGGAATAAGGCGTAAAATACGAATGATGCTGCACATTAACTTTAAGGCTGTTTTCCAGTTACGTGTTTTTTACAAGTGCGTTTAAATCTTTTCAAAGTTTCATATAAATACAAACCTTATAACCTTAACAAACACACATTTAATCATATACAAAACTGAATGCTGCCGAATTAAGCAGCATTTAGCTACATTACGCGAAAGATTATAGCAATTCGCCAGACATAAGAAAAGGTTTTAGAACTAGTGTACGGTCATATACAAAAAGGTGTGTAAAACTAATTGTACTTAAAGTTTTGATTAAAGACGCCATTGAGTTTTGTTAAATCGACTGTTGTTGTGTCTTAAATCAGTTACTGTAAATGTAATATTTTAAGGTGTCTGGTTTCAATTTGGTTACCATCATAGAAATAATAGATATAGAATCGTGTTTCCGCAAAATTTCGGTTTTCTATAAGGGCATTTCAAGCACGCTTTATTTTTGTATCTATTGGTGCAACCGGCTAATGCTGAATACGAATTTGGCATCCATTTTATTATAAAAC